GATGGATTGCATGAATAGAGGCAGATAAACAGACCTGCCTAAAATGGATGCGCTAAAAAAAATGAAAGGGCGTGGAGGGGCCACCCAGGCCATTGCGTGGAGTGGAAGTGGTCGTGAATGACCGAGCTTAAGGGAACAAATTGTTTCTATGGTGTGCTTTCTTATGACGGTTTTCTTTCCTTTTCTTGTTTGTCGTCATTCCGCTTTAATAACGCGTGAAGAATGCATATTAATATTTTAATTTTGTATGTCTGTTTTTTTGGGTGATTGTTTTTTGTACATTCATTCCAAATAAAACTTATACGGTACATTTGACATGCAAAACGTTAACATGATTTGACTCTATTATGTATTAAAACAGCACCACAAAAATAAAAGGTAAAACTTATTTAATTGTAAACTATTTTAATATGAAACTGTTTTTAATGGTAAACTATTTTAAGATTTAATTTAATTCTCAAAGAGATGATTCAACTTCTGTACCATTGTAGCTTAGTTAAGAGGATTTCGTTTATATATTTATCCGCAATCATCAGTAAAATGTACCGACATAAAAGAAACTTTAGGGTATTACCTCGTTAATACAAGTAGTGTATTTCAGAATTTGCAGGGCATAACATACTTACACTATATTTTGGGTCTATAAATTCAGCTATTTTCAAGACATAACCTCTCGTATCCTTCTTCAGTTGTTCGTAGGTGATGAAGAGTACGTTCGGATCGTTTCTGTGCTCCCACCAGGACAGGGTAGTCTCGAAGTAATCGCCGAATTCTACCTCTCCTTTGATGAAAAGCTCGAAAAAGTCGTCCAGGCTTCCATCTTCGAAACCATAAGTTGGCATGCCTTCAGTGTGGTAGTACATCGACACAAAACAGTCCTGCAAATTTACAAGAAATTACAGAGCACCATTGATTGCTTCGAAATGAAACGAAAGCTACAAAACTAGTCTTTAAATTAGAAAAGATAACTCCGTTGGTATGGTGCGGAAGTTTGGAGAGGGGATTGTACTTAATTGTCGAAATTATTGATCCCGGCCGAGCCCCCACTTTTGTAGGAATACGGGTTGAATGGGAAATAATCCCGGATTGAGCAACCACTTTTGTAGGATTGGGGGGTTAAAGATTCAGCGGTATGCTAAGTGTATGAATTTAGGGGGTGGCAGCCTAGGTGTCGAACTCGCCATCTGAATTCAAAATTACAAGGTCCGTTCCAAAACAGCCCTTGTGGTGTTTCAAAACGGGACGTTAATATAACTAAAACTAGAGGAAAGATAGCTTTTAATATTTTTCATTGAAATTCTTTCTAATTAATCACTTAAAATTGATTCAGTATGAAATAATATCATTTTCCATAAGAGTTTCAAATTATCATTTGAATATTAAAAAGGTAGTTATTGTACATGTTCGTACAATAACTAGCTTTATACATTTTATTGTGTAGTTCTACAGTAACTACACAATAAAATCAAAAGTTTTCTGTGCGAAGTGTACACATCATTTATTGAAGGAGAATTGATTTTCCGAGAAATTCTGAAAGATATTTTCAGAACCCTGTTTGAGATTGGAATTTTACTATCATTTTTTTTCAAATTTTGTTGTACATTGAATCTCCAACAATTGAACAGTACCAAAACATAATATAGAGAAACGTATCCTGGCTTCAACAAAGCCAGGACGTGGACCAACGTGAATCCCTCTGAATGGACCCGTAGAAGTTGCGTCACGTTCTCATGAGAAAAACTTACGGCATACACTCATTGATTCGTGCTGCCATCTACCGTTACGGTTGCTTACTAAATGGGTAATAACTTTAATTACTTTCCTGCATTTATAATTTTAAATATGAAAAGCCTTCGAGTTGCAAAATTGTAAGATGTTTATCAGACAACAGGTGACTTCTTTTCTTTTGCCCCTGAATTATTTTATTATCTAGGTATCTTCTTTGAGTCATGGGCGCTCAAATTCCTATTTACGGTTCTGATGGGGCGCCAAATAACTCTAGCCCAGGGTGTACAAATTTGATAAGACGGCCCTGTTAACTATATACCTATCACAATATAAGTTGAGCTCGTGTACACATATGTCTCAAAATGGAAGCTAACTGACCTCCATTGGAGTCAAAACGCATGCTGATGCAAATTGTACGAGGGTTGGAAATTTAACATTGGCAACCTTACAATTACAGCTCGTACAGCATAGTGTTGTGTAATATTTTGCTTGAATTAGAACATAGTGAATTACATAGTGAACTCGAGAATTCTCTGGAATAGAAATTTCCAGAATGGCGGTGAATAACGTCAAACCTTCGCTAAGTAGAGGCGGCGCCACCTTTGAACTCTAGATAGATCGAGAAGAATCAAGACACCACCCTCTAATCCTCGCGAGTAAAGCGACGTATCCCCTGAACTCTAGAAAGGTCGAGAACAATCCAGAGACACCACCCCCTGGCCTATTCAGCAAGGCAAAGGACGGAGTTGGACCCCGAGATATATATAAAGGGGTGTAGATAAGAAAAAGGGAAGCTGAGAAGAATGTAACAAGAAACGAAGTGGTTTGTTTGGGAGAAACCTTTAAGTGGCCGATTCCTCCAAAAGGTTCCATTATCCAAGTGACGGTGGCTGCCTCGTAAATTAAAAAGATTTTAATGAGACCATATATGGTGAGTGAAGAAGACAATTAAGTGGCTTGGTTTTATTAGTACCTTTGATTGGAAACTACAAGTGCATATATTTTAATGAATGCTGGACTGGAGATTGACTGATTCCGCCTGGTGAGTTTGAAATACATTTCATGATATCGAATCTCTAGAGACAATTACAGACTGTTGATTAGAGACTGTTTTAATTATTTTTAGGTGATCCTACTATTCCTGGGCTTATTTTATTTAATGCTAAATTTATAATTAAATATCTATACTGTAAATAAAGTTTGATGTTATATTTTTGAAATTAATATTGTCTTTCTTTGTGTCGCATGCTGAGTGTTAAATTGATTACATTAATAAAAATAATTATTAGACAAAGGTCGAACCTGGGATTGCTAATTAGGTTAATTGCATTTAATAAACCTATTTGAAATACACCTCAATCTAATCATAACAATAGGTACCAGCTTCAAACGTTAACAGTCCTTCGATGCATTCACCAGCGTCAGTGGCGAATCCAGGATTAGGGTCTGGGGGGAGCTGAGGCCATAAAAAATTTGTATCGTAGTGACGAATATCAAATCTCATGGCTTATATAAACAAAAACACTTTAACTTTACAGACATTCCTCTCCTGACAATAAGAATAATAAAGAACACTACAATACTTTCGATAATTTCATAAAAATATGCAATGAAATAAGTAGCCAAAAAATGTTTTCGACAGCGCCAACGCTACAAGTACAAGTGGAATGACTAGAAAAGTAGGAAAAGTTTCGAGCCTGTCAAGCCAGAAAGCAATGTTTTGTAACGATTTTATTACTATTTTATCGATTTTTATTACTATTTTTTAAAATGAAAATTAAGAACAAATAGTTGCAGTGATTTTAAATTAAATCAAGAATTTTGGTTCAGCTCTGGGAGGGGGCTGCAGCCCGATAGCCTCTCCCCTGGATTCGCCACTGACCAGCGTTGTATAAAGCCTATTTCTAGCTATGTGGAATTGTAGAATATGTGAAGTAGTTACAGTTCTGTTTTTGATTCTGATGGAGAGGTGTATCGCTTTAAGAATCTCTAAAACAGTCCAGTAGCAACTGTTAAGTCATAGCTAGCAAGCGCGCCCTGTAGCGCCATCTGTGAAAACTTCGCAAAAATGTAACTAGTCTAATGCTGTATCCCAACAAAAGCGGATGGACTGAACGACGCAGAATAAAAAGGCTTCGAGTTACAAAATTAATTTTTCTTATCTAAACCTATTTGCAGTCCTGATTTCGATTATGACGGGAACAGCAACCCGTGATTGATTGTTTTCTCATTGGGGCTGGGAGTTGCTGTACCATCTTCCGTACGCATCGAATTTAAGCCCTTGTAATTAAGATTTGATTCCGAAGATAAATCTTAAGCAACCTTGGAAGGAACCATTTAATGGCATTCGCTGCAAAACATTTACAGAGATATTTAAAGCAATATCCCGCTCCATCCCAACTATCAAAAGAACTAGTACTGCTTCAAGTATTCTACATCTTTATCGCTGGATATAACATCGCTTTGTATATAACAGTAGTGCCTGCATAGAAGGACTATAAACGTTTGAAATTACAGTCGAACCCCAATATAATGAACCCTCAACGGACCGACTCAGAAGTTCATTTTAACCGAGGTTTGCTGCATCCGTATTTGCAAAAAACAAATGCCCTAACATGCTAAGATACTACTTCTATAATAAACTTTTCAATAACATAATATTTTCATTAGTAATCAGGGACAAATAAAGTATTAAATAATTTACTTGGCAACGTTAGCCATGGTCACTGCAAAGTTCACAGAATGATAAGCAATTAAACTAAAATGGCAGAGAAAACACGTGATTGCTCCTAGGTCGCCTGACCAGAAAGTCCTCCTCCTTCCTTGGTTGACACCAGGGCAGGTGTCCACAAGGGGAGGAGGGGAGATGGAAACTATAAAGAGCCTTGCCTATTGTTCCTTTGTCCCACTTATGGGGTTAGCAGCGACTCTAACAAAGGTACAATTGGCGAGGAATGTGGTCTCTGGACCAGAGCATTTCATGCAAAAGGAGTAAATCTTGTAGAAGTTGGGTTGACTTGAGCACAATTAGTAAAGAATGTCCCTTTGGGCAAGTGCAAAGTTTGAAGTTTTGGAAATTTTCAGTTCGCTATAACCGAGTCTCTAGCGTTTGCTGTTCGTTGTAAACGTATGAAAATACATTATTAACATAGGGCTTCAGTTGGGACCGTGCAAAAGGTTCGCTGTAACCGAGGGTTCGTTATATCCCGGGTTCACTATATCGCGGTTCGACTGTAGTACAAATATTGTATCGGATGTAATTGTATGGTACAACGGCCATACCATGCTGAGAGCACCGATTCTCGTCTGATCACCGCAGCTAAGCAGCATCGGGCGCTGTCAGTACTTGGGAGGGCGACCACCTGGGGACACCGTCTGCTGTGGCATCTTTTTAGGCAAGGGGACATGGGACGGCGTTCTGTAATTGTATGGTTGCAAATGTTGGATTTCCAATCCTTGTAGAATAGCGCGACTCTCTTACCTTTGGATTTCTTGCTACATAAATATACTTGGCTTCTGGTGACCAGGGCGTAAGACGGAACGGTAGGTGGAACTTTATGGCACCGGGTCTTTTCAGAACTTCAGCCGCTTTCGCACCGGTCATTTCCAGAAATGGCGTTTCCGTAAAAAACTGCAGGCCCGAAGTGAACGGCTTTCCCTCCCTGAAGATACAAGCCACTATGTTCTGTGTCCAGGTGGTTCCGCATTTGGGGTAGGTGACGATAAACAGGTCACCAGGTAGGGGCTTGTAGGACAGAGCAGACCTGTACGCTTCGGCAGAGAAAAAGCCGGGAAGTCGGAAGCCATCGACGTCTTGGTAAAAGGGCGTCTTTTTCGGCTTCTTTTCTTCGCCGGAAGATGACATATTGAAAAGCGGACGAAGGAATTCTGAAAATAAACGAGGAAATATGGGATAGGTTTTATTAATCAGAGAGACTAGAAGACTTGGTTTTCTGAACTCCAACCTGGAACGTTCTAGAACAGTGGTTCCCAACCTTCACTGTCTCCCGTACCCTTTTTTTGATTAGAATTTTTTATTTCTGACATCTGTTATACCCCCTTCCTAGCCATACTTTGTCGCAAAGAAATTTTTATTAATAATGTTAAGGGCTTAGGTTAGCTTAAGAACTAAACCCGGACTCTCCCAGATAATTAAGCTACATGGTCACTTTATATTCATATTCATGATAGCACGAGTCTACGCTTAACGGAAATTAATAGTATTCAAAGAATGTCATTAAAAGAGATTTGGATCAAGGTTACTTGATAGTAGTAAGGTTAGGCTCACAAACAGCGGATTCAGTGATGACATCAGATTGGAAGCATGCTTTTCGTCCCGGTGTTGCGTAACGGAATAAATAAATTTTTGAAAGTTCTTTTGGCAACAGAAAAACTTTTTCTAAGCCAGATTTTTTTCGTGGAATAGTTAAAAAGTCGAACAATACAAAAAAATTAAAATTTCTGGTATTTAATAAAAAATTCTAATAAAACTCAGTGATCTATTTTTCTGATATGGTCTCCATGCAATAAATAAGGAGATAATTACGTCTATAGCCCCTACACTTTATGAATAAAAATGACTTCTAGATTAAACAATGGACGAGAAGAACAAAACAGTTAAGAATAATTTTACTTGATATTATAAAATACACATTCGTTTAAATAATACTGTTTTACTTACTTTATCTAACTAATAACAAAATCGGCAACCTATGACAGCCTTCTTAAAACTAATTTATAATTTTGAATACATATGAACCAAAATATCTTATTTTTACATAATTGCTTTCATCGCACAATTCTTAATAGAATTTTACACATATATATCACATACATAATTCATAAATATTACATTTTCACACACATATATAATTTCAAAACTTTCGAGCGATGTGAACCAAACTATAATGTGAAACTAGCAATGTGAATTTAAACTAAATATAAACTATTGCAAAAATGGTTATTTTATGTTTTAAACAGAATAACTTGAAACAAAACTTATATTATATACCTTTAGAACAAAATTGTAATCGCAGTTTAGAAGGCTGACAGTGTAAAGCATTCCACTCCTGCGCTTTCTTTAGCTGTCCTTTTTGAATTTTTTTTTATTTCGAATGACACGTTTAACCCAAGGTTACTTGAGAGGATAAAGGTTAGGCTCACAGAGAGTGGATGAATTGATGACGTCGCATTGGGAGCACATAGCTTCGTCCCAGTGTTACGTAACGGAATAAATATCATGTTTGAGAGCATTTTCTAGCAACCGAAAAACTTTTTATAAGCCTGACTTTTTGCGGAAACGTTGTTAAAGAGTCACAAATGACAAAAGAATAAAAATTTGGAGTGTTCAATCGAAAATTTTAATAAAATTCAGTCACCTTTCTGATATGATCTCTATGTAAGAAATAAAGAAATAATTACGTCGCACGGTGTATAATTTTTAAAAACAAATTTATCTGAGACACTGGATTGTTTTTAAGAAACTGGAGAGTTAAGAATAATTTTACTTGCGATTATAAATTGCACATTCGTTAAAATAATAGTCTTTCATTTACTTCATGTAGTAAAAAATAAAATTAAATATCTTTGAAAAATTCCTTAAAATTAACTTGTAATATTAGATTAATATGAGCAAAAATAACTTGTTATTTTTTGCAGAATTGATTTCATCGCACAATTCGTAATTGAATTATACACATATATTTTGCATCTTTAATATATATAAATTACATTTTCACACCCAGAATAATAAACATATATTAAATAAAATCTCTCGAGCAAAGCAATAATCAATATTTGCTTGCAATATTAGAAATGATCGGTTGTCTAATTGCTATGTTTTAAACAGAATAATAATAACAAAACTTATAATAAATACCTTTGATTAGAATATTTCCGCTTCGATGGCAATCACTTAAGTAGTTTCCGAAGCTTATTTTCGTACAATACGAGAAATCAATTTATAGCACTTTTCAGAAAATTATGTTCCATCCTAATTTATAGTGTTCATCTGGAACTGATTAAATCTTTGATTCATCATTTCATTTGATGACAAAAAAAAATGTTGAAATAGTTTTTGGTGTCAGAACTGTTATTATTATTTTCAAGGAAAACAAGCAATTCAGATTTTAAATCATGATGATAGTCGTAAAGTGCTGAGAGAAACATTTGCGTCATTACAGGGATTTTTTTTTCTTGCATCTGCAATCCAAATTTCCTTAACATCAGGATCTTTCGGAAATGAGTGAAAAGAAATGTTTCCGAATTTCGAATGTATCGTAATCCGACAACAGCAAAACCAGGCATTGCATTAGCTTTAAAATCATTCCGTAAAACTATGACATTTGCTCTGGAAAGAGTCGTTTTTAAATCCTCAGCTTACCACCTAGAGGAAAACTCAAAAACCTCTCCCTATCAAGCGATCTACTCAGCTCTGAATCATACGAGAAGTATTTATAATAAAACTAAATTCCCCGCCTTTTAGCTTAATATGTGAGGAGAGAAAAGAAGCAAGACAGAAACTCGGCTCCAGACTAAATATAAATAAGCCCAAACCGACCACATTATTTATTTTCAATCATCAAAAATTCCTATTAAGCAGCAAAAAAAAAAGCAAATAATATTTTTAAAGAGCAAATGTATTATTTGGGACTGCTGTAAAGTTAGCAAAAAGGGAACAACCAGGAATAATTTTCATTAAAAAAAAAGTACATACCTAATGCGCGGAATTTATAATCAATAAAAAGTTGGGTTGTGATGTAAAATGATGAGGATACAATAACGAATCATTTAAATTTAACCATTAAAGTATTTTTACCATTTCTTGCAGATGGAATAAATGTATTACTTTAATTCGAAGCCGCGTGGAATAGCGGGAAGTTTCGGAATCTGTCCCAATATGCCGTAATGCGCGGAAAGACCTTCTGCGCATCGCGTTTGTGGACCTCCCCTGCGTTTAACCATCTAAGCCGGATGAAAGTTCGTGTTCTCGAATAGATATGAGTTATTTCCTCTGACACGCTGTGAAATTTTTCTTTTCTTGCCAAACACACTTGTTTTGAGATCACATTCCTTTCCATAGACAGATGGTTATTACCAGGGGCGTAGTGGAGGCGGAACGTGCCGGAAGAAAAAATTGTGAAAACGTACTTAAAACAACGCGATTTTTGTCACCCAGGTTAGAGCCTCCAGGTACTGCTTTTAGAGCGCCCCGGCATTACTTATTTTGCGATTACACCGCTGGTTACTACCGTGCATTTCGACAAAAGTTTGCTCAAATTTTTAATCTGTTTCAACCATTGGAAAACAATTAGAACGAGAAGGCCAAACTTTTCTTGAAAAGAACTTCTATCCAGGTTTTTTCGTGTGAGCTAATTAAGAGATTTTGTACAGATGGAATGGCAAGAGAAGTATCATATTTTCTGCATCCATGTGCGCTATATCCAGCCAACACCCTTCCTTTCAGTCCCTCCACCAGCAATGGCGTTAGAGTTTGCCCAACGGAGAAGCCCGATTTGCTAGACAGGGGAAGACGAGTGTAATGAAATTGGTCTCAAATTTTCGCCAGATTATTATTATTTATCAACTATAGTTGAATACCCCGGGAGGGGGGCCTGCCCCCCGGGCCCACCTCTGGCGCCACCCCTGCCCTCCACACAGCAGTCAGGAGGGGAATCATTAGAACATTCTGAAGAATCAACAATAGCAGTTAGTTCATCAGATGAAACTTCATTTGTGATTATTTCTTGGATTTCTGATTGATTTCCTGGCTCAGTAAAATCTGGACGCATTTAAACGAGGAACTCAGTTGTAAGGAAAGATTTGTCTTCACAGTGTGAAGTATTGGCTGAACTAGAAAAAGGAATATCATCCACATTTTCCCCAAGCAGAAGCATTCGAATGAGGTGCTTTTTCTTCGGATGGCAACGGATGATCATAAAAGTGACCAATGCTACGAATTTGGGAAAAGAAGTTTTCAAGGCAATCTTGATTTAATCGGGATGTTAAAATAAATTTAACACTAAGGGGTTTTAAATCACCATACAAGCCATATAATGATGCATCTGCCATTAAAAACCTTTCTGAAAAGGTAAATAGGTTTTTCCTTCCCTTTTAGGGCCGCGGTGGCCTAGTGGCAAGGTCTCGGGCTTGGGGCCAGAGTGCCCCATCCTCGAAATCCAATTCCACCGAAGATCCGGCGTGTTTGGGGTCTGCTGCACGCTAAATCATACGTAGTGGCCAAACGTCCTCCCGTTGGTGTGGTGCGGAAGTTTTGAGAGGGGGTGCCAGCTCAGGTGTCGTCTTCGTCATCTGACCGTGGTCCGTCCCAAAATAGCCCTCTTGTTGCTTCAAAACTTAAAGTTAATATAACTAAAACCTTT